ACTCCATCTATATACATAAATACATATATTTATTTATTTATTTTTAAAAAATGAAATAAATTATTTGTCAATCTAACGCAACAATGGCACCTGTCCCTTCAAGTTGCTTATAAGTAGTAGGGGTGGTATTACTATTAACCCCCTATGCCCATATGCTGGGTTCAATTGTCTTTTCTCTTACGCTAAAAATTGTACGTTTAAAAGAAAAATGAAAAATTCTAATAGCGACAATAAGCCTTTGAAATTTTGCGCGTTTCAAAGAAAAATTCTATACCAAACCATTTGGACTTTTTAAATTAATTTAGCCTCCAATTTTTTTTATATAAACCACTCAGTATTCAAAAATTTACTGGACCATCGACTAATTTAAATTTGAATCAGGTAAAATCTAATATATTATAAAATTCTCACTCACGAATTTTAACGAAATTATATTTTCAGAACTTGAAACTAAAATTTCTAATTAAATTAGAAAGAATTTTTTGTCAAACTCATCTACCTATTCGTGGGTATTTAGTCTCTAATTACATAGAGTCATCTCTTTCAACATACAAACATTTTTCAACACTAATTTTAGAATGTCGACGGATTAAATAGACCATGTTTACACAAACAGTCAATATATGAATATATTTTTTCTATATATAATAATTAATTTGCCTGAACATCAGCTTTCAAAGACTGCAAATTCAAAGGTATGAGCTAACACGCAGCCGAAAATTCAAGCAGAAGCAAAAGAGGACAGATATGGAAACCTCCATACAGATAAAGTATTAGTTCATTTTAGACTTTTAATTCTTTATGATGGCCACCTAACATGTGGAATAGCTAGAATGCCGCCGACCAATAATAATAATAACAATAATAACTTTAGTTTGGATGCTTCAAACCTTCTCTCATCTTAACATGAATTGAAAATTGCAGTATTAGTTATATGAGAGAACAGTTCATTATAAACTTAAGATATGTTTGACTAATTTGCTCGTTGAAACGTGATATATTTTAAATAAATGTAATATACACAATTTTATTTTATAATAAAATCTTACTGTCGTGTTAAGAAGAAGTGTATCATTAACAAAACTTAAAGGTATATTAATTATGGATACCAATAGAGAATTTTCAAAATAGTCAATCATGTACCAAACTTTTTTTTCTTCGGCTTTTTAGGATCAAATTATTGAACAAGTCCTTAACTGCTATGCGTGAGAATCCAAAACGGAATATCTTATCTATTGATTTGTGTACGCGGTTAGCCCAAAGAAAATTCAAGTTGGTTGGATACTCATAATTTATAAAAGTTAAAAGATGACTTTCGGCCTTGACCCAACATGAGGCTTAAAATTTGCAAGCCCACCACTGTTTTTCTTTTTTTTTTTTAACATGAAAAATTATGAGAAAAAGAAAATTTGAGAAAATTTTCGAGTAGCTTGAACTCTCAAATTCCCTTTAAAAAAATATTGATAGAAACACATTTATTTTTAAAAATATAAGGATAAATTAACTTTTTAAATCATAAATTAATACAAATCACTTCTTTTTCAACGTTTTTTGTTAAAAAATGTTGACGTGACAAACAAAATTCTGACGTTTTTCACTGAAAAATGAGTTATTTGTATTGATTTATGATTTGGAAGAGCAATTTATCCCTACTTTTTTTTAGAGGTGAATGTGTCTCTACCGATATTTTTTTAAGGTGAATTTGAGAGTTTTGCCTTTGTATGAGTCAAATTCTCGATTAAGTGCATTCAAGTATTTAAGTTTGAAAATGAATTATTAGACTTAAAATATTAGTATATTTTTTTTTATCAATTACACATAAATATTAAAGTTTGAGAATAAACTATTTTAGACCAGAAAAATCGATTCAGTCCACCACTGTTTTCTTTTCTCATAGACACATAAATTTAATTTAGGACTTTAATTTCCCAGATATTCATGCATCGTGTTTTCCAGAAAGAGCAAGGGGCACTTACTTTTCGCACTCTCCGGCCAACACTTCCCCTTTCATTGGGCCACGTAAGCTTCTTTAAGCCTTTCAGGTGCAACTTCTCGGGAACCAAGATAACGTGGCCCAATAAAGGAGAAAGTGTTGACCGGAGAGTGCGAAAAGCGAGTGCCCCTAGCATTGCTCTTTCCAGAAATTCAGGATTGTTGACCAAATTGAAGTGTAATTAGAAACTCATAACCAAACGATTCCTAACATTCCCTTTTGCATAAAATTATATTTGTTTGTACCTTGAAGAACCTAAATACATAGAGTCATCTCTTTTCAACATACAAACGTTTTTCAACACTAATTTTAGAATGTAGACGGATTAAATAGACCATATTTACACAAACAAAGAGTGCTGAAGAGCTTGGATCTAAGATCCTCGT